ATTTTGTTTATTATGGAAAGGCAGCAAATCATTAGGTATTAATCTGCTGCATATTTTTACTGTCAGGGTTGGGGAAGGATCTTCTGGGAGCTCTTGCTTTATGTGCCAATATAACTCTCTTGAGGAGGATGGGTGGTTCTGGTTCCTGTTTTGGTTCAGGTAATAAAATGTATTGGACGAGCCCTGATACTTTTTGTCTTTGTGGGTCATTAAAGCCATGGACCTTTTTGTTCTCAGTATACTGTCTGTTATAATCCAGATGGCCAATGGCCTATGACTTTGAACAAGAATTAGAATTGCTAGAATGAAAACTGGAGATGACTTCTTTCTATCTTTAATGGCTTAATGGCTGTGTAGAAAGAGACCATGATGGGGTGGGGTTGTAATGGTACAGTCGGTTAAACCACTGAGCTGCAGAACTTGCTGATCAGAAGAAAACATGTTTCAAATCCACGGACAGGGTGAGATCCCATTATTAACCCCAACTTCTGCCAACCTAGCAGTTCAAAAGCATGCAAATGTGAGTAGATCAATAGATACTGCCTTGGCGGGAAGGTAATGGTGCTCCATGCAGTCATGCTGGCCACATGACCTTGGAGGCATCTACGGACAACGCCAGCTCTTCAGTTTAGAAATGGAGTTGAGAACCACCCCCCCCCCCCAGAGTCAGACATACTAAAATTACTGTCAAGGGGAAACCTTTACCTTTACTAGAAAGACGAGTCTCAGCAAATGTTGTTTTTTACCTGGTTCTGTGATAAACATCCTTCTTCAACACAATCATTAATGGTAAAGGAATTCCCCCAGCCCTGGCAGCCCTATTTTTTTGGGGGGGGAGGGTAGTTTTAGGGCAATAATTTGGAATAGATAACTTTATTAAGGTCTATTTTGGCCCTACAGCTCTGTCTCAAAACACAACCAGTCCCACTCCACAAGTAGTTCTGATGATATTTCAGAAAAATCCCATGTGTACTCATACAATCCCTCACGCCAGCATTTGGCATCCTTTCCCCCTGAGTTTCACCCACAGAGTGGTGTTCATTCATTGCTCAGGACCAGGCCAAGGGTCTTGCTGATTAAGCACCACTCCCGTGTCAGGCCAGTCATCCTGAGGAACTCCTGCCCAGCAGTGACCGGAAACCAAGGACAGGAACAGTTTGGCTTCCTGCTCTTGTTGGCGTTTCCCTTCCAGTCGGAGCCAGAACAGGTGGCAAGAGGTACACATTTCCCAGCTCACAAGAACAGCCATAGGAAGGTTGTTGGGAATAGTGGCCTCTCGGGAAGGCTGCAGTTCAATTCAGAAGAAACAAGAAATAGTATCCTCGCCGAAAGATCACCTCCAGGTTAGAATGGCAAACCAGGCCACAGTCCATCTCCTCAAACCGCTGCCCAATGGTGAAAAACTTCTTGAAAGTTGAGTGCCCTGACATCACTGGACTTCAGCTTCCAGAAGTCTCAATTAGATGCCAAACAGTCAGGGATTCTAGGAGGCAAAGCCCAGCAACAGCCACAAGTTCAGCTTGGCAATTTTTTCTGTTCCTCTTTGGTTCATTTCTTTCTTTACTGGACTTTTTACAGAAGGGCTGACCCTAGCATTCAGCTGCCTCAGGTAGTAACATCTAGGTGTCATGAAATAATAACTAAGAATATAGTTCAGGTATGGGAAAACCCAGTCACGGGGAGTAGATGCAGCCCCTTGGGCTCTTTTCTCAGGCCCTCCTCTCTCACACCATCTTTTCCTTCCTTCCTTCCTTCCTTCCTTCCTTCCTTCCTTCCTTCCTTCCTTCCTTCCTTCCTTCCTTCCTTCCTTCCTTCATCCCTCCTTCCTTCCCCTCAACCCTTTTGTCCTTTCTTCCCCCTTTCCTCTCCCCTTCCTTCCATCCCTTTTGTCTTTCCTCCCTTCCTTCCCTTCCCTCTTTATCCCTCCATCCATTCCCGTCTACCTTTTCTTCCTTCCTTCCTTCCTTCCTTCCTTCCTTCCTTCCTTCCTTCCTTCCTTCCTTCCTTTCCTTTCCTTCCTTTCCTTCCTTTCCTTCCTTTCCTTCCTTTCCTTCCTTCCTTCCTTCCWTCCTTCCTTCCTTCCTTCCTGTATCCTTTATCATTCCCTTCTTCCATCCATCCTTTCCTTCCTCCCATTCTTCCTTCTCTTTCCATCCTTCCCTTCCACTCTTTTATTCCTCCTTCCCTTTTGCCTTTCCTCCCTTCCCTCTTTCCTCCCTTCCTCCTTCCCTCTCTCCCTCTTTCTCCTTCCATCCTTCCCTTCCTCCCTTTTGTCCTYCCTTCCTTCTTTATTTCCTTCCTCCTTCCCTTCGTTCCTTCCATCACTGGGCAGCCAGTCCTCTTAACAGGGAGTGCTAACATGTGGCCCCCAAGTCAGAAAGTTTGCCAATGCCTGATATAGTTAGGATCAGGATCACCTGACCAAACATCCATGTAACCCTTTGGCCAACTTGCTCTATCAAGCATATCCAGCAGATCACTACTTGAAGTCAACACTCTCCATTTGTACTCCACCCACAGGGAGGCAAACTGCTACTCAACATGGAATCCATATAGTCACTATGATGAATAGACATTCATATTACATGAACTAGCCTATCCTCTTTTTAAGTTGGAGTTCATAATAGTCAATTCTAAAAACTCGTTTATTTGTGAATACCACAAACAGGAAAAATCCTATTCCTTCTCTCACCATTTAGTTTCACTCTGAATCTGTGCCTTATTAAGTAAGCAGAATTGACACATTCAGATCTTATCAATCTGTCTGTGACTACTCTTGAGGAGTAAAGATAGTCAGAAATCTGAAGTCCTTCAGATGTCATAAAACTTAAGTAGAAAATTTATCATCCTAAAAAGTGCTATAAAGGAAAAGAGAAGAAAAAACAGGTCAGTCAGGAAATACAGTGGGCCCCAGATCTGAGAAGGTCAGTTCTTAGAGCCCCCTGTGAACGCCAATAAAAGCAGATAATTACATCACACTTTATTAAATGGGAGCAATGTACACATGGATGCTTCAGCACATCCATATTCAAATCACTGCCATTTTATGTACGGTAAACAATGTAATGATTCACACTTGGTAGAAATATAGATCTGGATGGTAAGTTCACTCTATGTCCTTCCTCTATTTCCTTCTTTACTCATTCAGGATCCCCATTATATACAACGGTGAAGTAAAATTATATAAAGTGCAAAATCAAGATTTGCTTCTAGAGACAAAAAAGGAATATTTTCAAGCTGTGGATGGTTAAATCCATGGATGCAGAGTCCATGGATACAGGGGATTGACTGCATGGTCTTTGTTGAGGAAACCTACTTGAAAATCAACTTGTAGAGATAGTTTATTTTACAATGTTTCCAAATCTTATGCCTGGCAGTTACTCTCTCTCAGTTTAGCCAACCTCATGGAATTGTTACGAGAATACAATGGAGAGTATGAGTGCCATAGACATTGCCTTGAGCTCATCAAGAAGACGGGCGCTATATTTTTAAAAAACTAAAAAGCAGACTTTTCTGATCACATTTCAGAAAGGCCCTACAAGATAGTCAGTGCATATATCTATGTCACATAATCCAAAACACTATTGTGGCAGTAAGAGTCTTGGACTCTCCAGATATTAGCCAGAACAAGGAAGGAGCTTCCTCGTATCCCTACAGTTGGCAAATAATGAGTCATTGGTGGAAGTGGTTGCTCATCCCTTTGGCTTCAGCTTGGAGAAGAAATCTCTCACTCCCTCTGCACTCCACAATCCCTTGTCTATGGGTACTCAATAAAAAGAAAGCAGCCTGAACATGTTAGCATTAATAGATGAGATAAAAGATAGACTAGAATCACATCCTGTATCATTTCAAAAGTTCAACAGGAGACACTCCTCATTAACCATTAACTTGTTTCAAATAATACACTCAATTGTGAGCATGAAACTTCTGGCAAAACATCACAGCAAGATTGAGTCTGCCTATAGTCTGGCAATCTGATGGCCAGGGGCACTGTTTCAGAAAATTACAATGCTGGTGAATCTTGAAACAGACTCTGTACACTCGATAAGGCTCACAACAACCTTTTATGGGTGCATCTACACTGCAGAATAAATTCAGTTTGATAACACTTTAAACTACCAGGATTCAGTGGAACCATGGGAGCAGTGGTGAGGCACCAGCACATTTTGGCAAAAAAAAAATGTGAAAAACTACAACTCACATGATCAAATTCCATTAAATCTACAGTGTAATAGAGGCACTCTAAGTAGTTCTAGGTCAAAATGAAGAATCAGAGTATAGAATCCCTATAATTTTAATCACACAGTAAGGAATTTCTGTCCATTTGGCTTATCTTCTACCCTACCCCATCCTATCCTTCTATTTTAGCAGTGAAATCAGTTCCTAATAGGAACATAGTGTATGGAATGTTTACTTCTTCTAACACCCCAACACATGGATATAAATTGCTTCTCACAGAGTAGTAATCCCTTTCAGATGTTTACAACTAAAATTCTCTTCAAACTCCAAGCAAGAATGGGCAATGGTTATAAACAATGAGAAGCAGAATCCAAAAAATTTAGAGAGCCGAGGAAGGCTGGGTGGAATTGCCCACTGATGAGCTTCACAAATTACATATGGAATGGCTATAGTTGCAAGCTGTTTGATCAACAAATGTGCATGTATACAGTCCTTTACATTGCTTGCTTCTTTAGAGTTGTGGGTTTGTATTCCATCTACTCATGGGTCCCAGGCAATGGCAACTGGTGGCTTCTATGTCAGGGGTGCAGTTCAATCCCTTGAAAAGCTTAGTTCAAGACTAAAATCCACAGCACTTGGCTCATTCCAGCATGAAGCCATTGGCCATCACTAAATTCAAGAACATCTACAGAACAAAACACTGTAGAGGCACTGGCTCATTATAATGACACATCAGTGCACATTAGAGCAGCACAGGCTTGAAACAGATCTGAACATGACATGTGAAATATATGCCAACAGACTGGTCACGCATGACTTACCCAATGTGGTTGGTCCTCAGAGAGATCTCCAGCTCCCTCAGTACTTTGGTGGATTCCTGGACTCTTCGGCGGAACTTCTGTAAGTGCAACAGAGGCATGTGGACTAGTAGGATAAACCCTGTTCTCGTCTTCTTCCACAAATATCAGAAGTAAGCTAAATGCATCAAGATTTTAACCCATACCTGTTATCATCCAAATTTCTTCTTTACTCCGTAACTCTTTAGAACAGTGTTTTCTCAAACTGTGCTCCTTCACATGTTTTGGGGCTTCAGTTCCCAGAAACTCCAGCCAGTTACCAGCTGTTAGGAATTGTGGGAGCTGAAGTCCAAAACATCTGGAGGAGCACAGTTTGAGAAACTCTGCTTTAGAAGACGAATAAGAGTTACTGGCCCTACCACTAGGCACACTGCTGCCTGGTGACATCAATGCAACATTACTTGCAATTTATCCTGAACATAAACCAACACACACAGTTGTTCCATTCTGCTGGAAAACATGTCCTTTTCCAGCACTATAAGGCTGCTACCCAAAATTTAGAAAACTTAGGGGTTTTTTTACTATAGTTCTGAGAATCTACCAATCATTATGGGCACTGACCATGCTGACTGGAAGATTCAGGGAACTGTAATTCAAACAAATATACAGGCAGTTACAAACAAAGGTATGTTGGTTTGTTCTTAAGTTGAATTTGTGTGTAAGTCAAAAAAGGTACATTTTAAGTGTAACAGGCATATATAAATATGTGTGTGTGTGTGTGTTTTTAAATAGAACAGGGGAGGTTAACACTCTTGTGATATTTGGCTTTGCTGTCTATGCCCCTGTTCAGAAGATTTCCCTTACTTTCTGTCCCTGTGGTAATTGGATTTTGAGGAAAAAATGGTTTGTTGTGGAAACAAAGATTAGTCATTAAGTTTCAGTGGAGATACTTTCCCCCATGATAACTCTTTCAGAAGTGAATTTCCCATCTGAGGGCGAGATTTTTCTCACATCCTGTTGTCTCACCCTGTTCTTAACTATGAGTCATTTGTAACTGTGATGTTTGTAACTTGGGGACAGCTTGTATACATAATATTCCCAAATTCTGTTGCTGCCTGCTCTTCTATCCCACTGGTTGGGGACAACACAGTTCGAAATCATAGGAAATTGGATGTTGTCTGTAAATCTCTACACACATCAGGATAGTACTCCCACCTTACTGATTTGTGGCAACCTCAAACATTTGTCTCTTTAGCTACCGCAGCTGCATCCTATAGAAACCCGGGGAATTTACAGTTTGGTCAGGGGCAGCAAAGGAGCTCTGTGGCTGAGGATTCTGAAGGCCCATTTTTCTACAGCCAATTCTGGGATTTCATAGGATACAGCTCTAGCAGTTGAAGTGAGATCATACCACTATAGTTGTGCAGTGTGTTAGAATTGCTTGGCCTTGGAGGAAATCTCTCTGTCACAGTACATAGCTAATGGTTCTGGGACATGGAATAGATGACAACCTTTCTGGGCCATCACTGCAAAAAGCACTGACATTTTACAAAAACAAGACTCTCTGGGGCTGACCTTCCGGGTGACTCCAGGGTCAAGAAAGCTCTTCAGTTTCTGGATGTATGTGTGGGGTGGGTTCTTCACCTGGAATCTTTCCTGTTGTAAGTTGGGAGGACAAAAAGAAAGAACAACAGGTGGTTATTCTGGCAGAAGCAAGGAAGCTTGAGAAAGCAAGATGTCTTGCAAAGCATATTGGAATGAGCTTGGCTGAGGTCATTGCAGAGTAAAGGTCACTATTACTGATTTATTAACACTAAGACTTTCACCCTCCCTTTCATCAAATGTCTGCCTGGTCATTTGCTCCTCCTAGTAATCTGAATCCCAGATGTTCCTTTATGTCTGTAATACTAACAAGCTTGAAAAGGAAGCCATTTCCAATCTCCACCCAGATACATTATGCTGTGCTGCCTCTTCCAAGGCCTTTCCTTCTACTTCTATGCTAGAAGGATCCCTGCCTTTCATTTGAAAATGGCCCACTTTCTTGGAAGCAAACCCCTTTCCACTCTGATATACTTTTAAGTAAATATACACAAAGTAAGACAATTAAAACAAACTCTACATGAATTTTATGTACTAGAATTATAGAGTTGGAAGAGACTGCAAGGGCCATCTAGTCCAGTGAACTGATATTCAGGAACATGAAATCAAAATACTCCTTACAGATGATCATCTAGTCTCCTACTCTATCTCTTTCCCACATCAGCTCTAGATTATTAAATATGGTTTTATGTGGGCGAGCAGATGGCGGCTACTGGATGGCATTTGTTATGTATCAAAAACTAGAGCTGATGTAGTCTATCCAATGCAATTTTCTGAATCAGCATCCCAAATAACCAAACCACATCTAAAGTTGACCAAAAACCGATTCGTAACCCTTTTGGTCCTAATGTTGGAGAGTGGTCCCTGGTCAAGTCGTCCCTGGTCAAAGTGGTCCCTAATCAAAAAAAGGTTGGGAACCACTTCTTTAGATCAAGGGTAGGCCAAGTACACCACTCCAGATGCTACTGTTGAGACTGGATTCCCCAGGATCCATAGCCAGAATAGCCAATGGTGAGGAATGCTGGGAATTGCCTTCTGTACTTTGTTTTTTGCTTTAGATGAGGCCTCTCCATGTATGAGATGGAACTTCCTGTAGACAAGGGAAGGAGAGGGACTTTGGATCTGCTAGTGTTTTGGCCTACAGCTGCATCTCAGCATGGTCAGTGGTTAAGGATTGTAGGGACTGCAGTAGGACACAGCCAGAGAATCAAAAACTCATGCTATTCATCGAGCATGGGAATGGGGCAGTGAGCCAGATGGCAGATGACAAGTCCTTGGCTACAAAGCCAATGGTGATGAATGCTGGGAATTGCAGTCTATCATGTGGAAGGTCAAGTAACTTCCATCATGCTATAGAGACAGAAACATCGTATGGTGATGCAGAGCCAGCCAATTTTGCAGCTCTTCTCAGAATTGTGTCTACACTGCTGTATGCACTGCTGTACTGAAAGATCAACAGATGAGATGATCAGAATCCTCCCAAGTTTTAAAAATAAAATTCTTCCTGCAGCTCCAGACCTACGTATGGATCAGATGCTGACGCTCTTTCTGGTAATCATGTAGTCAATCCCACAATGCCAAAGAATTCGGCAGCCAAGTATAAACAATTCATTATGATAAGAAAATGTGGCCTGCTATTTAAAAGGAAGTCAGGGAACTAGTGATCAAAGGGACGTGATGTTGTTTCTGGCTGTTTCTCCATCACAGGCAAGCCTGTTATGATATGCAGTGTAGATTTCATGCTACTGAGCAATCTCTCCTTTCGCCAGCTCTTGCCTTACCTGGTCACAAATGAGGTCCCATTTCTTCTCATTGTCATATTGCCTCAGGAGGCGGGCCTTGTCAGGAGGGAGGTTCATGGAGCTCTGAAGAGAAAAACACAGGGGCAGTTAACACAGGTGGGCTTATCTGACTGCTTTCTACACAATATTACTTTGCAAAGCTTTGGAAGGTTGTTTCTTTGGACCTAAAAAAACCCTAACCACTGGCTATACCAGCTGGGGAACCTAGACACTATCGTCCAAAACAGTGACTTCCCAAACTCTGCTTCTTGGAATGTATGAAAGACCTTCCTGTTCAGAGGGAAAACAGCAGGACATATGGGATTGTTGCGGAGAAGATTGGTAACAATTTATATTCAGCAATGTGCTGACTGAGTGATGGGTAGGGTTGGCAGGCTCTCAAAACTGGTCTGGTCTGGTCTGGACAGCACAAGAATTTTCCTAAATTGTCCAGTATCCAGGATTTTAATCAAAAACATAAAAAGTACAAGAATAAAACACTGTACTAAGGCAGGGGTGTTCAAGCTCTTCAGGCAAGGACCCACCATTGGCTCCACAGGTAGGATTTTTGCAACCCATTCCAGGTGGTGCGGTGTAATCTGACCGCTGAATTACAAAAAGCTAAACAAGGCAATGACTACAGAAACTTGACTGCATGAATTAGACACAGAGTGTCTGCACATTTAGGAGATGGTGAAGAGAAAAGGTTAGGTAGAGAAGCATTAGTCCACGGTGTTCATTTTGAAACTGACTGTGGACTGAACCTTTTCTAAATCCTGGCCTCATTACATACTACAAATCTCCAGTCACAAAACAAACACAAGTCTTGATCAGTCCATTGTTTCATAGGGTTGACACTTTACAGTAAAGGTGTAGATATGTTCAAGTATAAAGGTTCAAGTATAAAAAAATTAGCACTGGAGAGAAAAATTGGCAAAAGCAATTCATGCCCCTCCCCAATTTCCAGTGGAGTCTTTATTTTGGTCAAGAAATTATAATATGGTCTGCCTATCTACAAGAGATATGCACTCAGTCTTTGTGCGAGTACACAAAACCACAACAGCAAACACAACTGAAGTCATTAACTTCTGACCCAAGAATGTTATCCACTCACACTGGAGGACCTTAGAAAATGCCTAGAGATGATATATTTGATCAGACATGAATAAATGAAACCACGGATATCTATCCTACAGACATGGGACTCATTGCTATATTTATTTATTTTTATGGAGTTTTTAAAAAGTCTAATATCCCATTTCTTTTTCTTTGCCACAAAAGTAGTGCAGCGTTCCTTCAATGTCTTGTATCCTAGCCAAGGAAGCATTTGTTTTCAGGACTTTTTTTAAAAAAAGGAAAGAAAGCAATACATCTAAAAATAAAGCCAAACTTGACTCATTGCAAAACTTTCATGAACTTATGTGGGTCGGTGAATGCCCTCACACACGCAAACAGTACTGTTCCAGAGCTTCCCGCTGAAAAACAACGTCAAGAGCAATTTTTTGATAATAAAAAGTACTAAAAGCCACGAAAAGCTAAGCACCAAAAGAAAGCCAACTACATTGGCTATATTGTCTTCTATGGACAGGAATCACTAGATTGCTGCACTTGACCAATTGCAAATATCAGTCAGGAAGCATGATTTCCATGGTGCTAGTTTGTGATCCTTTATAGCAGTGGTTCCTAACCTGTGATCCATGGACCACCAGTGTTACACAATAAAGAAAATATGGTCCGCGGCCTCACCATTCTTACTACACCATTGCCTCAAAACCATGCAGCAACCAAAGTAATTGGTCTCACGCTACTGAGAATGAGTATTTACATTTTTATTTTTATATGAGCATTTACATTTACATTTTTATTTATATAGATTGATAACTCAATCTTTTTTGGAAATTACTAAATCATTAGCCATAACGATTTTCTTGTAACAGGGAGTTCCATAGTTCAGCTTTCCACAAATCAAGTACCCAATGGGCTGTAAAAGCAATAGGATTCGGCTTCTCAATTTTGGGCAAAAAGTGCTGATCTCAAAGCTTGGGTGTATTACTTTTTATGGATTATAGCTAGCTACCACACTGGACCAGTCAATAGGCTACGGGGATTTGGAGATCTGGAGTCCCCTCCCCCTCCCCCAAGACCCTGTTAAGTGGAGAAGATTGTGTGTGGTTGTGCCCTGAAGAATGATGCAGATCAGCAGCCATTGCTGGTACCTCCAGGAGAGTGTCATTTGTAACTGCCTGTCAGAGGGTGGGTAAGGAAAGGTCTCAGATTACACAGCAAAATCAAATGAAAGGAGAAATGACATCATGTTATAATGGTTTTACCAAACGCACTCCTTCAAAGCTTGGAGCTTGTTCAACAGAGAAAAGAATATGCCCATTTATACATTCTTTCAGCTTTGCTTTCCAACAAACAACTTTAATGTTCTCTTTGTGAGACAGAAACCCAGAATGCACTATACATTCTGGTAACCCATTTGTACACAAGCATGTGTCCTCATGTTGCCTTCTTGTACAATATGAACTTGTTCCAATCGCACATACACATATGGCAGTGGTTTAAGGCACGGCTCACCATGGCAGCACTCAGGAACATTGGGCCCACATTTTGGGGTTACAGCTTCCATACTCCCAACCCTCAGCTATCCTGGGTTGGTTTTCTGGGAGCTGTAGACCAAAACTCTAGGAAGGCCAAAGATTCACCACCTTGATGGCTGGATTAGGGCCCCTTTTCAACACCAGGGCTCAACATCAGAATAAGAATAAATGAAATTATCATTGAGCATGCACAAATTTAACTCACCATCCAGCCGGGATGTAAGGCAGTGGTTCTCAACCTGTGGCTCCTCAGATGTTTTGGCCTTCAACTCCCAGCTGGTAAACTGGCTGGGATATCTGAGAGTTGTAGACAAAAACACCTGGGGATCCACAGGTTGAGAACCACTGATGTAAGGGAATGTCTTTGATAGATTATTTTGCAATGAGTTTCAGATCTTCGCATTTACTGTTTTGGAAGTTACATCTGGATGCGTGCGAACAAATATACAAATGCCACATACATTACACATATACACACATGCACACTGTCTCTTTACCCTTGGTAACACTGGGTACCCATGCTCCCTTCAGACGTTCCCTAGACTTGTTCACATATGCCCTCATCGTGTTTTAATGCTTCATTATGCGCACATGTACGCTTTCTGCCATCCCCACACCCATATATTCTGGCCAGTTCTGCTTAAGCAATGGCAGGCTACCTGCCAGATTAAGAAGCCTGCAGCCTCTGACTCAATGGCTCGCTGACTCCTTTGAAATGTCAGGAGAATGGCAATCTTAACAGAGTCAACTTTGTTCCAAAGAGGAAGGAATCAGAAGTGACGAGAGCAGCTGCCAGAAGCCAAAGGGCCCACATTGCATTCCTCAAAAGTGCTCCCAACAGAGCTATCTAGATTTATACGATATAAACCTCCTTCTTTGCCTCTCCCTTAACTGGTAGCCAGGGACACAGCTTGGCCCACTGCAGGGGTTTCAAAGTCAAAGAGGCAACCGACCAAAATGTTCATTTAACAGAAACTACAGTAGAAGATGGTGATTCATGTTAATGCAACAGTGAATCCTTTCTGGGTTTCCCCCAAATTTCTAATGAACTGTCCAAAGTGCTGAGTCTGTCATTAGGAAAGCATTACGCCCCCTGGATAGCTTCTTTAAAATGTGGACTAAAGCCTAAAGTGGATCTAACAGCCTACTGGCATAGGAACCTTCAGCAACATGATCATAAAGCAACATGATTTCTTTAGGCTACTCAGTTATATCTCTGTATTTCATCAGACAATGAGACTTGGTCGGTTTTGTATCAGAGTGGGTAAAAAAACTGCTGGTTTTCTTTCCTGTTGGTCGAGTTCAATCAACAAGCAAAGAAAAAAGGTTGTCAGGGACATGACTTGAGTCTGAAATCATGTATAGTTAAAAATAGAGAAAAGAAAAGTAGGATATGAAATGTAGGACATATGTCCAAAATCATATACAATAAGAAGAAATAGAGAAACGAGAAACAATCCCAATGTAGCATCCATCTGTGATGGCGCAATAGGTAAAACCCTTGTGCCAGCTGAACTGCTGACCTGAAGGTCGGCAGTTCAAATCCGCAAGACAGGGTGAGCTCCTGTCTATCAGCTCCAGCTTCTCACACAGGGACATGACAGAAGCCTCCCACAGGATGGTAAAACATCTGGGCATCCCCTGAGCAACATACTTGCAGACAGCCAATTCTCTCACACCAGAAGCGACTAGCAGTTTCTCAAGTCGCTCCTGACACGGAAAAAAAATCTAACTTCCCAAGGGACAACTCCTGAAATCAAGACAAAATACAGTGCTTCCTTCTCTCCTACTCACACATTCCTCACTGGATTTTCTGCAGCAACAAACAAAAAGGAGAAAGTTATGGGGAAACATGGCATTGCAGGTAGCTTCTGATGTTGCCTGTACCATCTCACTAGCTTCTCCTCTGTCTCTCTTTCTCACACATACACATACATTAATAATATTATGTGAAAATGGCATGGCAATTTCACATTAAAATCCTTGTCTGCGAACACCCTTGAAGTCTATTACTCTAGAATAATGCATGCAAACGTGCTGAAAATGTCTAGGGAGCATTTAAATGCCTTTGATTTTATTCAAATTCAGTGTTACCACACTGTAAATATTCACATTGTTAATTAGAACGTGAACATATTGGAACATGTGTACACTGGCTGTTTCCTATTAAATTACAATGCTTTCTCCGCATACAGACACAAAGTATAGGATTCTTTATCACGAAGCAGGAACAGAAACTGCAAGCCAACCCTGAGAACAAGGGTTAGCCAAGCAATGGTTGTCAACAACTGACAAACCATCATACTTAGCATACTTGGGAATGGTAACATTATTAACAATAGAATTATATTTCTATGAAGCTCAAAACTTCTATGAGACCTGCTTAAGCCAAGGGACTGAAAACCCAAATCTGCAACACTACAGTGGTCCAACCTGTGGGGGGGGGGGGGGGGGGGGGGGGGGGGTGTAGGCTACAACTCC